GTCCCCTATTGTGGGGGAGATGGGCAGGGGAGAAATCCAACAAATAAAATAAAAATAAATAAATCCCCAGAATATTTTTCTAATGTATGTGTCTGAAAGCCAGAAAGAAGCTAAGCTTCCTTGCTTTCCTTTCCCTTCTGTTGTCCATCTTTATCTTTAGGTGCTTTTTTCATGTTTCCCTAATCTTTATACACTGATCATTCAGAAGAATCAACAGTCTGAAGTAGTAATGAAAGCAGAGGCCTGAGCAAAATTTTATAGCATTCCAGAAGGCATGATACCTATATGTATTACTCTGTTTAGTGTGTCAGAAAACATTGCAGGAGTTTTGAATGGAACCCTACCACTACCAACATCAAAACTACCATTTGCTATTACCATAGCTGGAAATGCTAGTAATTTCATCATAATGTTTCTGATACAATAATGAAGCAGGTGCAGGAAGAAAAGCTACAATAATGTTTATGTATTTCTGTATGTAAGGCAATGCTACTTCATATTAAAATCATGACCTCTTAAGGTATGCCTAGCAATGAGACGGTTCTGCTTCTCTCCTTCTGTGAGAAAGAACTTGAGATGCTTAACATGCTCCTCTCTAGAAATGAGCCCACTGCAAGCTTACCTAGGAGTGTTGTTGACATGTAGCTGTTTAATGGTCGAAAACAATGCCCTTTCTTGTTAAGACTTAGAGTATCACTAATGTCTCTCTGAAAAAGGGGAGAGAGAACAGCTGGAGAGTGAACGGAATTACTCAGCCTATGCAAAAGTACATTTACTCGCTTTTTGCTGGGAATGCACATCTTACAATAGATGCTTTGGTTTAACAGTCCAATCCATTGATATCTCTTTAACATGCTGGGTTTATTAATAACTTGGGGGATAAGACAAACTTTCTTATACAAACTCATTGTAGTTTTGTATTACCTAGATGCCATTTATATAGCTTCAAACATGTGCATCTTTTTATATTTATTATATCAAAGCCCAGTATATTTAGTAATCCAGTCTCGATAGTAAGTCACTCGTGTATAAACGCCAGGCTTATTTGGTTTTGCACATTCATCCCCCCAGCTCACTATGCCAACAAGGTACCACATTTTTCTTGAATCAAACGTCATCAGTGGACCACCGGAGTCACCCTAGCAGGAGGAAAAATAATTTTTAGTCTGAAGCACAAAGAAAAAGTACTTAAATAGCCAGCATTTACTGTACTTAAATTCATTAAATGACATTATAATGTTAAAACTAACTTCATGCTTTATACTTGCAATTGCTTTTTCCTCTCCATTTTTGTGCATTTTACAGAAACAAAAAGTTATCTCCGTAACTATCTGATGATTTTTCTGCCAACGCTGAAGAAGAACCATGCATTTTCTCTGAGCCAAAAGAGGCACTACATGTCCAGGAACCGCTATTGTGTGTGCTGCATAAAGAACTGGATACACAAGAGGACAAGCGGCACATGCAGTTGCCAAAGCCAGATATCCCTAAATAATCTTTGGAACTGGGATTAACAACAATTAGAAATCCAATATGACCAGGCGTTCCATCTGGACTGGTATCTCCCCAGAGAACTGTATGGCTCCCACCTGGATATTCCACCAGACACCTTTACAAACTTGGCTGTTCTCCCAGGACTTGGGGCAGGGTGCTTATAGAGCCCCTGTCAGTTGTATTTTATTTAGTTAGTTTCTATAGCTGCCCATCTCAACCAAGTGACTCTGGGCAGCGAACAATTCTAAAACAATAA